CCTGAAGATGCCCGTAACGGGGCGGAGAGACGTGCCCAAAAGAACCGACCGGCCCGGCGCCGGTGCTCGCCCCCTGGGCCGGCGGTGGCCCGGTCGAGGCGCCTCCAGCCACGAAGGTGGCGTTGACAAACACCCACCATGGACGCTTGCCGACCCCGGGACGTCCTGTCTGCCGGGCCATTCGCCCGGGACTCCTGAATGGATTGCACGCAAGGGCGCACCGACAACCGGGCACGTCGACCGGCGGCAGGAATCCGGGGGGCAAAGGGGGGGGGGGCAGCCCGGCGCCGGGGACGGGCAACCTTGACTGGGGGACGGGGGGGGAGGGGCGCGCAGGGCAGCCGGCACGCGGACACCGCGGACCTCCGCGGCCGAGCCGCCACATGGCCGCCTCGGTGGCCCCGGCAAAGGGTCCCCCTTCGGATCCCCGGCCTCCGCCGATATGTCGGGCTCCGCCCGCCGGGGGGGGGGGGGCGGGGGGGCGCCCAGGCCTGGCGAGAATGGAGGCCTTAGACGCGCGGTGGCGGCGGCCAGGGCGCGGGGGGGGGGTCACGCGCCACGGGCATGTGCGCACACGCGCGCGCGCGCGTGCGCCCACTCAGCCCCGCCTGAAGTGCGGAAGAAGGACAGACCCGGAGGGCTCCGGGCCGAGAGCACCTGTGTCACTGGGGCGGCCGGGGACCCCCGGCACCCTGCCCGGCCGGGCGGCAGAGAGAGAGCGAGAGAGCGAGAGACGCCCGGCGGCGCGCCGGAGCCTGCTTGCCCTGTGCCTACACCCTCCCCCGCAAATCGGGGGCTAGCTCCTCGCGCCCCGGGGCCCAAGCTCAGCCGCCCCGGCCCCGGGAAGCTGGCCCCCTTCTCCTTTCCGGGGCAATCTCATCCCCCGCGCCCCCGCGCCCCCGCGCCCCTGCCCGGTGCCCCCGCCCCCCGCGCGGGTGGCACACAAGCACCCGCACCCCGGGCGTCGGGCCACGAAGTCACCGCCGCTCGGATACAGCCCCTGGGGGCGCCCCTCCTGCGGTGCCGTCCCGACGCGCGGCTTCGCAGAACCGGCGACGCGCAGCCCTGGTGCCTGGGCGCCGCGAGCGCGCGCGCGCGCGCGCGCCTACCCCGGCACATGCGCGCAACTGGCCCATTCCCCCAACCAAGCGGCGAGAACTGCCAATTGTCGCTGCCAGTCTGTTCCACCCCAGACAGGGGGGGGGGGGGGGGGCGAGGACACATCAAAGGGCGCAGGGGGGGGGGGGGCCGCGGGGGGGGGCGAAAAAAGGAAAGGAGCGCGCCAACGGAGCACCATGTGTGTCTCCTGTTCCCGCGGCATGCGCAAGCGCGCACGGACACACCGCCACCACCTCCCTCCAGACGGGCGCGACGCATCGGAAGTGAGCCGGCTCCCGTTTGTTGTGGCTCTCATCTCACCCCCTTTTGTCCGGATCACACACACACACACACACACACACACACGCACACACCATCATTACAAACAGCATGATGTATAACACACATGAGGGCAGGGGGAGGGGCAGGGAGAGAGAGAGAGAGAGGGAGGAAGGGAGGGAAGGGCACTGCTGTATGTGGAATGGAGAAGGAGGAAGGATGGAGGGAGAGAGAGAGAGGGG